TACTATGCAAGTACTTAGCTGAAGGTTCAGTCTATCTACAGCATAATGTATTGCTGTATATCCAAAAATCTGTTTCAGAAAATGCAGGGAATTGCAGTCATAGGGGTAGAAAAATACAAAAATTTTCTGGGGGAGAAAATCCCAGACCCTCTCCAGGGCCGTAGCAACCGCGGGGGGGGGGGCTGGGGGCTGCAGCCCCCCAATAATTTGCTAATAATCATTCATTTTTCAAAATCATGCAGACCTTTATTATTTAATCCATGACAAACTGCAAAGAGTGAAGATATTACCCATACTTTCCTGCAACTTATCCAATATATCGTTAATTCAATGCACCTTCGTCCATTTAGTACTACTGAATTCTAAATTTCCACAAACTAAAAACGCTGTTTTCTGACAATCAGAAATCTGTCAAATCTTCCCCAAAGTACAGGAAATGGCATTTCAGAGACTCTAAATTTAAAAATTTCCTCGGGCCTTCGGCCCTCGCTTTCAGCCCCCCACCCCCAAACGAAAAGAGCTTCCTACGGCCCTGCTCTCCCCCCCTACTATTAAATGCGATACCACACCAAACTTTTTGTTACCAACAAACCATCTATCATTGCTCCACACTCGGTATAGTATGGTCCCTTTTTGTAGATGGCCCCCCCACTGACGAATTCTTAAAAAATGCCCTGACTTTGTGTCGACACACAGTAAAGTCGTGGTGTGTGTCTTCTGCACCATGTCTTCGCACAATCAAGACAGGCAAGAAAACTTTGGATATCTTGAGGTAAGTTGAACAAACCCTTGAAACTAACATTTCTTCTACCTGTGTCAAACCTCTCAATTGTTCAGGAACTGTTCCTGGGTCCATGTCATTCTCGGCACTAAATTTCTTGGGTGATTTCTTCTTTCTCTTGCACAGGTAACACATGCATACTTCTGATGCCACGTTCTGGCGTGTCGGCCAAGCTTATTTACACATTGTACATTGTCGATGTTCTAAATGTTTTTTATCTAAATGAAAACTGTGCACTTCATTTTGTACAAACTCTAGCTCATGCAGAGGGTTGTCAATATTTTGCCAACCACCCTCATGTAAATGTTCATTGCTACTTACCTCTGGCCCCTCTGCTTCATGTACAGGCTCACTATCCTCGTCTGCTTTAGGAACAGATACAGGTTTATCTACATTTGTATCAACAGACATACTCAACAGCTCATTTGATTCTTGGTCATTTTCATTTGAACTTGCTGTGTGAAAAAGTGCTCGTAGTATTTCAAGTATTCTTGCTCGTTCATCAACTGTTTCAGTTGCTCGGTCTTGCTTCCTCTTTTGAAGCCTGTTAGTTCGATCTTCTTCATTGTCATTTTGCATTTTTTCTAAATTATACACTCTCTTATACTCTTTTTGCCTACCTTTAACTTCTGGAGTACTTTCTTGCCACGCTTCTCTTCGTTTTGCCAAGCGAGTTTCTGTTTCATCAGCAGTTTCTCCAGCCTGTTTCTGTTGCCTATAGACTCTATTATACTCTTAATGTTTACCTTTCGCTTCGGCAGTCTTTTTCCCCATGCTTCTCTTCGTTTTGCCAAGCGAGTTTCTCTTTCCTCGGCACTTTCTACAGCTTGTTTATGTTGCCTATAACAGACTCTCTTGTACTCCTTTTGCTTACCTTTTTCCTCGGCAGTTTTTTTTCCTCTCTGCGCTTCCCCAGGCGAGTTTCTCTTTCCTCAGCAGTCTCCTCGAGCAAACGTTGTCGTCTTCGCTCCCTTCTTTTCGCTAAACGTTCGGCTTTCTTGTCGATTTCTGGACGCTGTTCATTTGGCTCCATGTATTCTCCGTTGGTATTTGATACCGTAATTGTTTTATTAAATTTTATACAACAAATGGCTTTTAAAACTGTCAAAATTTTTTGAAAACGTACAAAATATTATATTGTAGTGCAAAAAGCAAAATATTTTCATGAAAAATTGGTCGATTGAAATCGTCATTCCTCATACAACAACAAATTTTAAATTTGACCATTCAGTGTTCGCTATTCGTGACAGTCCGCCATATTTTTGAGATCAGTGAGGATGACCACCCACCGATCTACTCACGGTAACCCACGCCCGCGCTCATTGATGAACTTTAGACTTGGCTAATGCTTCCTTTTTGCCGAATGTAAATAGCCGGGGGGGAATTAGTACGCTCGCCCCGGGCTGACGCCCAGAACGGCGCTCCGCGCCGTTGGCTCGGGGATCAAAATTTTTAGCCAAACGTTTAATGTTACAAATCAGTACAGAGAACGAATTGCTCTCACTGAGACAATGAATTATTTCTTGGTTGTCATGGAATTCATGCGAGCTGTAATAATTAAAATTAATATCATTTGGCATGTGAAGTTCAACGTCAGATCTTATGAGATGTGGTACATTTGTTGGTGAAGTGCTTATGTCTAATCGAGGGAATAAACAATACTTTTTACTCCTGCTATCGACAGTAGTCACACCACATTCTGAACAAGACATGTACCTAACAATTTATAGCAGAGATTTAAACAATGAATGATACTAATAAATCAAACAAACAAAAAGACAATGACTTATTAGTATGCAATAACAAGCAATCGAGTTTACTAGGCTATCAATAAAGCACCAGTTTAGGCTAATAATCACCCAAACGTATAGAAACTAACAAAAACTAGAATTAAAATGTTTTTAAAAATAAAATTTTATGTGCAAAAACGTCAATTTCAGAATCGGATAACATCAGTCGAAGTTCATCAACATGTCTTAAGAGACTATTAATATTTAAGCTTGCTATTTTCAGCCCCCTTAGTTTTTGCTGACGCAGCGAGCGATATCGTATTGGGGTCTGAAAGTAAGATTTTACTTCCGTTTCTCTGACCAGAATGCACTGCTATTAACCGACCACAATGCATTGCTGTTAACCGACCAGAATGCTTTGCATGCATGATGCTAAAAATACGGGGAATCTCATTAGTCAGTTTATAACGATGCAGTTCTTTTGGTGTATTTTGTATTCATTGTATGGTCTGTAATTTCTGGCTGGTCTTACACTATATATACTGAATTTGTTTATTACCAACAATTTATAACGCTTAGAAAGCGAATTCATGCGTTTGTGCTCTTCGCCTTATTTTCTTTTGTCTTTTCTTATTTCATTTAGCTCTTAGGTCTTAGTCTTGTGTTTCATTTCGTTCATTTCAAGCATTAAAAGCGAACCAATTTCATCTCGATTGTTGTCCATCAGTTTCACTTTGCTATCATTTAAACTGGGTTTAGTTTGTAGACCTTTTGTTTGAATATGATTTGACTATAAGGTAATTGACACGGAGACATATGGCATCAACAGTCCGGCAACCTTACTGCCAACTATATGTCTATATTATAGCATGGCGTTTTAAAAGAACGATGCTTTGCGTGCTCTTTCATGGGTTAATTAAATGTACTTTGGCTGCCAAAAAGCATACTGCTACACTATAATTAATTATACACAACATATATAAGTTAATTTAATTTATGCATGTGCATTGTTTAAGCATGCAACGCAACCAGGAGCAAGTCAGTAGGATCGTGTATGGGATTGAAGTATATGTGCATTGAATATTTTTTTATAATTGATCATGCTTTTGTTATGTTAGGCATGTGTCGAAGCATTAAAAACAATGTCCTCAACTCTACAGGGTGTATAAAAAAACTGACCAGCAAACCTTTAATATACAGGGTAAGTAAAAAAAAACTGACACCTATGCGGCTAATTTGAATATCAAAGGAATCAGGTTTTTTTACTCACCCTGTACAGTACAATGTTTTTAGAATTTGCATGAGTCAGAACTAATTGATCCCAAGCGTGCATAAACACAATAGTTGACCTAGTTTACAAGTCAAATAACTTTGTGTTATTCTAATCTCTATCAACGGGGTTAATTAGGATGTATTTTCAAATCACAGGAGCAAAATATAAGTAGCACCGACATTGAAATGCTAGTAGGCAGCAGAATTATGCAAATTATAGTGTTTGCAGGTTTTTTGATACACCCTGTAGTTTTCGAAGTAACGTGGCTTTAATTTGACGTCGTTGGAGTGCAAGTTTTGCTCCATGACCATGTTGTTTGACGGCAGTTCTTAAACGACGTCGCCTCAATAAAATCAAAAGAAAGGCAATTTGGCGGAGAAGTATATTCAAGCGAAGTAAAATATCAGCTAAGCACTTTACTTTACTCCTTCTTTAGCCTGGTTCACATTTGCCCGCCGTATGTCTGCGCTATCATTGTTCACACCTTTTCAGAGCAGTTGTTGATGCATACATTATTTTGTGAATTATTTGGTTGAAGTACCACAACGACAATACTCAATAGCCCGCCGACATACCGCAGGTGTAAGTAGGTATATATGTGAACCGGGCTTTTATGTTTAAGCCATTTAAAAGTCCGTGCTTTATCAGATAAACTGATCGCGTTTTAAATAGTACATACTGTACCACACAGTCCGCACTCACTGCACAGTTGTGGTCTTGTGATAGTTTGAAGTAATGTTTGTGGCTTTAATAGTGATCGTTGTTGTGTAATTAAAAATCTGTGTGCTCTTAAAATAATTATTGGCTGATATTGTGGTCTAATGTAATGAAAAGGTTCCAAAAATGGATACACGTACACACATACTATTGTCGTTTTGATGTCACAGATATTAGAGTAACGGTAGGATAGAAATATTAAAAAATAATGTATGGTTAGATTCTCATGTTTCGCGCACAATAAAGCTAGGGTTAGAAACAAGGATTTATTCATATTTACAATAATGACGTCACAACGAGGTTCAGGTTACAGTTACGATGGGTTAGGAGCTTACGAGATTGTATTTAAACTGGGGTAAGTTGTTAATGTGGAAAGATGAGGCCGTTTTTTATATATCGTCAAATTAAGGAGCAAGTCAGCATACTACTGATAAGTATACTAGTTTAATTTTATGCAAATAAGAGTCTTTTTTACCTTCAGAGTCAGGCATCGTATTGTTTATCGATGAGTTCGCTTCTTTGACGACTGGGGCATGATCAACCTTAACAGCTCTCCCAGTTGTCGAAGTTCCTTCGGAAAACCCCCAGCACTTGATCGTGAGCTAGTTCCTCTAATAAATTTAATGAAGTGAACAGCCAGTAGCGCCGAACCTTTCGCATTAAGATGTAGCTTGGACCCATTGAGGCAAGTCGCATCTATGTTCCCATTTTCAATATAGGTATAGCCCTCTTTTGAGCATAAATCCTTTAATAACTCATTCGTTTCTTGTGTCTTTAATGTTACATCAATATCCTCTCTCGATATAAGGCTGGATATCGCGATTCTAGCTTCCTTAAAGGTGCTCTTTATTCTGGAACTTTGAAGCTGAATATTATCGAAGCACTCTTTGCTAGAGTCGGTGATTATGTTGTTAGTACCAGCGTGTATAATTACTTCTGTGGCAGGACAGTGGAAATGGGCCGATTGAAACTCGTGTGCAATTTCCTCTGCTCTCTTACCTGGATATGTTAACTTACGAACTGAGCTTTTTGAAAGTTTGTGTGGATTTATATCTTTAATCATTGAATCACCAATTAGCAAGATGTTATAGGTTTAAATTTGCCATCTTTAAATTTTCCACCTACATCAATAGGGTTTTTTTCATCCTTAGATATTGTAGTTGTGTCTCATACCGGGTCTTTATGTTGTCTAGCCTCTGATTGATCCAGATCTGATGCAGATTTGTTTACTTCTTCTTCGTAGTCACTAACGCTGAGAACTTCGAACTGGTTCTTTAACTCATATGATATAGTTGTATCTGGTCTTATGGATGCATTTTCTCTACGTTTTTTAACTTTTGCGAATTCTCGCTTTTCTCTGTTGCTCTTATCAAGGTCTTCTTGTAGCGTTCTTGCGGCAGCTCTTAGATTTTTGTTCTCAGATTCCAGGTCTTCAATTTTCTCTTTTTCTGCTAGTGATACTGATTCTTGCTGAATTAGCTTCAGGGCAGTTATGACACTCGATTTTTCGTCCAGAAGTTCTATAACCTTAGCTCTTACTTCAGACAGAGATTGAAATAAGTTCTTGTTTTTCTCCTTTATGTCCTCATTCTCTCTGTTAAGTTCATACTTTTCCTTCTTAAGGTCATTAACAGTTTCTTCAAGTATCAGTATAAACACGTTCTACTATAGGGTCCAATATTCTATTTAACAGAATTTGAGAGAAAAATGAAAGAAAACACTAAAAAATGCAATGAATACAGCCATGACTGTGGAGAAATTATACATAAATGTAATAATTCTGCATGAAAACAAGAATTCCTTTTCAAACATGATAAAAATTGGTAAAAAACATAAGAATAATTGCAAATGTGGACAATGACAGATTTCATGTTTTAATAGGAAAATCACATCAAATGCATGTTAAAAATGACTGGAAATATATTCAGCAAAAACATACACATTTTGCAACAATTTTAGCTTTTCCAAGTTGCAAGATATGACTAAAATGATACTAAATCTCTAAGAGGAAAAAACTGCTAAAAAATGTGGGCAAAATTTATTGTTTTTAGCAAAGTGAGTAAAAGGCATGTGAATAAAAGGGGAAAAAAGAGGAGAATGTTATAGTTCCAAAACATGTCTGGAGGCAGCCACAGTCAGTGAAAATTATATATCAATAACATGGCACATGCCACCTTCGATATATCGAAAACTCTAAACTATCCAATGCTTCGATATACCGGTATCGAAAGAATGTCATTTCTTCGATATATTGAAAGATTTCAATTTCCTCGATATATCGAAAGAATGCCATTTCTTCGATACATTGAAAGATTGAAATTTCCTCGATATATCGAAAAAAGGCCATTTCTTCAATATATTAAAAGAATGCCATTTCTTCGATATATCGAAAGAATGCCATTTCTTCAATATATTAAAAGAATGCCATTTCTTCAATATATCGAAAGAATGCCATTTCTTCAATATATTAAAAGAATGCCATTTCTTCGATATATCGAAAGAATGCCATTTCTTCAATATATTAAAAGAATGCCATTTCTTCGATATATCGAAAGAATGCCATTTCTTCGATATATCGAAAGAATGCCATTTCTTCGATATATCGAAAGAATGCCATTTCTTCGACATATCGAAAGATTGCAATTTCCTCAAATTATATATCGAAAGATTGCAATTTCCTCGATATATCGAAAACTAAACTATCCATGGCTTCTATATATTGAAAGAATGCCGAATCAGCTGAGTACACTACACTAACACAGCAAAATCATGATCGAAAAATGTAACCAGTGCTACATCTTCTTCGGTATGAAGTGCAAAGTTATCGCAAATGTACCAACACATTTGCCTTAGCAATTAAATTAAGAAAAAAACATTAAAATAAACTGATAATATTTATTAGGCGTTGTATACTCTATTCTCGTATTTTCATTCTCTAAAAGCCATCAAATAATTCTATGTATTTTTAGATGCCCGCGCTATTTTCAGCAGAAACGGTAATCTATAGAGATTATTGGACGGAACACGATAATAGAAGCGGTGTTTTGTGTTATATTACACGTTAAGGTGAAATTTTTTTATTGAGCTGCTTTTTGGTTTGAACTGTTTGCAGTGGCCGGTGTTTGTTTGTTCTATTTGTTACTGTGAGGCTTTTGTTTTAATTGTTACGGGGGTCCGGTTGCGTGGTCGTCAAAGCAAGCGCCATTCACCTCTGAGATGGTGGGTGTTCGATTCTGGCTACGGACCCATGTGAAATTAGTCTGTCAACGTTCTGCCAAAATTCGTGGGTTTTCTCCAGCCGCTCCGGTTTCCTCTCACAGGGAAAGCTGACATGGTGGGTTAGGTTATATAAACACGACTAAGAAAATTGTTGTAAAGATAAATAGTCTAGGCTAACTAAGTAACACAAATATGCGCAACACTTGACGTAATCGGTCACTGAAAAGCCCCAATGGAGAGTGAGCTAAACAACAATGCAATTATTCATCAACAACATCGATCTCTGCAGCCTGAATAAATCAGGATATCCTGCTCAACCTCATCCAATAATTGCTTATTATTTGCTATAAATATGTGATGAATTTATACTTCTTTTGCAAGTTTATTGCAAAATTCGAAACAATTTTGGACATTGTGCAAACGAGCGTGCAAAATTGAAGTAAATGAAGTGGTTGCAAATCTTAAACAATACTGACGCTCCACACGCAAATTTGGGCCAAATTGGCAAATTAGTTTTGCAACTAGTTTGGCAAGCTAGCTGTATATAGTTATTGCCAAGCTAGATTTTATTTTCGTAACGGACCATTGGCAAATTTTCGGGCATTGAATGTAGCTCATCAGCGTAGACGCCCGTAATACTCTAGAGGCGTCTGCGATACAGGCCATTGTGGCAGCGTTTACACTGTACCGTTTTCGTAGCGTTCTCGTATTGTTCTTAATCCTCAAGGGAACGCAAGACAATAGTCTAGTTCTCTCGAACAATACGAGAACGCTACGAAAACGGTACAGTGTAAACGCTGCCTTAGATTCTTCCTCAAATTAATACTTTGCAAAGTCACATTCGACACACCTAAATTCCATAGAAATTTTAGCGATCAATTAAACTAACACATTAGTTCCTCGCACGGAAACCACTGAATATTTTACGTCATCTGGGGGTAGAGCTCAACAATACACGCAAGAATGTGAAGAAAAAAATCACTTTTAGTTATTCAAATCCGAGATAGATACAGTAGTTGAATAACAAATTGGACAACGTAATTCTGCTTTAAATTAATTAATTAATACATACTACTTATTTCTTAACTAAAACTAATTGCCTAACTGATTTATATACTTGTATTGCTCCCTTTGGTGCAGAATATCAATCTGATTGGTTTAGAAATGATGCGATTTAAACTTAAAAAGAGAAGATCGACGTTCGAGATGGTGCGATTCATTGAAATGAATATAACCGGAAAGATACCTTTAAACCGCATATGTTTTTATTGAAATCAAATCTGACCTCCATGCAGACACGCGTATCTGGCTGTCAAGACTCGCTTGCCTATATATCACTCTCCTCCGCAGAGGCTTTGTAGATCTTTGTAGTTTGTTTTCTTTCTATATTGTAGTTTGTTTTCGTTCTATATATAACTGAAGTTTGACTATAGAGTTTGCGGGCAGTAGCGGGCTAGGTAGAGAAGTGGGCACGCGGGCGGAGCG